AGGGAGAGACAGAGACATGGAAGTGAATCAGGGACACCAAGAGCCAGAACTCAGAGAGACAGGCAGACACAGACCCATGAGTTGCATTAGCTATATAACTAGATGGTTATTAACTATATAACTATGTATGTAACTAATGTCTAGGCATGGGCTGCATTAACTATGCTCATGATGTTCTTTAAGCTTTGCCACCATCTAATTCTAAACTTTTTTTAACCAATTATAGCAGAAAGTCGGCACCCTTTAGGTAATAACTCCCTAATTCCTTCTCCCACTTGCCCCTGGCAACCACGCCACTCTGCTGTCTATGCCTTGACCAGTTTTAGATGTTTCCTATAAGCGAGATTCTATGCTATTCATTCTTTCTTGTCTGACTTACTTGATTGTAACCCAGATGACCTTCGAGTGGGAAACATGCAAATGTCTACATGCCTGTCAACAAGCACCAAGACTGGGTCGCTGATGGTAGGGGTTGTAGAGTCCATTCCGACTCATTGTGACCTGATGTGACAAAGCAGAAATGCCCCCCTAGGTGGGTTGGGCTTTGTTTTTGTGGTTGGGTTGTGTCTTATTTGTTTGTTTGCTTTTAACCATGGAAAGAATGACATTTATCATGGGGTCTTCTGGTCCCTGAATGACATTTATCACGGGGTCTTCTGGTCCCTGAAGGGGCTGGGGGGTGGAACCTCTGTTGTTGTTAGGTGCCTGTAGGAAACAGACAAGTTATCCCCCAGGATGTACCCCGTCATATATGCCCAACCGAAGGCATTAACTATACACTTGGAGGTCAACTGCTTAGAAGTTATCTAAGCAGTGGTTCTCAACCTTTCTAATGCTGTGACCCTTTAATACAGTTGTGGTGACATCCCCCCCAACCATAAAATTATGTTTGTTGCTACTTTATAACTGTAATTTTGTTACTGTTATGAATTGGGCATACCCCTGTGAAAGGGTTGTTCAACCCCAAAGGGGTCTCAACCCACAGGTTGAGAACCGCTGATCTAAAGCAATCAGACCCTAGAGTCTGTCCTACCCTAAGTAGGGCCCACTCCGTTCTGATCAGGATAATGGATGGTTCCCCTGAAGGAGAGCCCAAAGACTCCTAAGGTCAAGCCAACTCAAGGACGACCAAGGTTAGGCTGCCATCTTGACTCTAGAGCCCGCCCATCTTGTTTTGTATGTATGTGCCTTTCTGTCACATGTGTGTCTGTAGTGCCTCCCCTTCCTATTGTGTGTACACCCCTAGCTCATCCCTGTCCTGTTACTCATATGCCCGTTGTACAACCCCTTCCTGTTGTGCATGTGGTTACCTGTAATTAGGAGGCTGGCATGCCCCCTGAGTGTACATAAGCCCTGGTTGGAAATATTTTCTCTCTCTCTGCGTGGACCTGGCTCCTGAAGTCATGATGTTCCCGGAGGTGAGCACTCGCATGCTTTAGCTTGTCTGATGTCTCTTTAATTTTACTCCTCAATAAACAACCGCCCCTTGGGCCCGTTGGCTTGTGGAGGCTGGTACTCCACAGGTGCCATGGAATCAATTCGACTCCTAGCAACCCGATGTTCAACCGAATGTACCAGGAAACACACCCGGGTCCTGCACCATCTTCACAAGGTTGTCAGGTTTGATCCCGTGGTTGCAGTCATTGTGTTGGGCCATCTCTTCGAGCGTCTGCCTCTGTTCACTGCCAAGCGTGAGGTTCTTTCCCAAGAACTGGCCTCTTGAGACGACAATGTCCAAAGTATGGAGATGAGACGGAGTCTCCCCACCCCTGCCTCTAGGAAGCATCCTGGTTGTACTTCTTCCAAGAGTTGCTTGTTTGGGGCAGTCCGTGAGGCTTTCAATAGTCTTCGCCAGCATCAGCATCCAAATGCGTCGGTTCTTCTTCGGTCTCCCTTATTCGATGGGACCGCTAGTATTCCCCATTTCTGAACGAGGCCACGCCCACCCCTACCAGGACTCAGTTTCCATCATGGTTCCAGACAGCTGAGCAACAACTCTGAGTTCACCCCCGAGTCTCCCGGGGAACCAGCGCGGTGTCCCGACTACCACCGGGCCCCACCCCAGACGCTGGCACCTGCCAGGCTCCCCGGCTCACACACGGCCTCCCGGGGTCACCGGGTGCAGGCTGGCAGACACTCACTCGCTGCTCCAGTTGCCGACGCCTTGCCTGCCGAGCCGGCTCGCGCGCAGCCACACCCACATACACACGC